TCCCAGGGGTCTTTGCCTTGAACTCACTGGATTAGGGCATTGGAGGATCTCCCTGAAAAATCTTTGGAGTGCACTGGAGTCCTCTTGATCCTCTGAATCCATGGAGAAAAGAAGGAGCATGGTTCCATCTGGGTCACTAAAAACGGTCTCCAAAACCCGGATAAATGAAATCCTCAAACAGGATCATTTTAGTATTAGCGAGTTAGGCATTACTTTGTGCTGGTAAGGGTGTGTGGAGCAGATAGTTGCAGCCACACACACGCACAAAACTTTTCACTTAGTTATCTGTTGCTAGCAAACAAAGAAATCAATGGTCATCCATTCTCAATTACATAATTCTCTTCATTAGTTAGTGTTTTAACCTCTGTTGGTTAGAGCTTTCTTGATTCTCATCCTAATTAGCACACATTTCTCTGACTCTTTATTATCTTTTTCCAAGGCAGTGAGTTATCCCGCATATATAAAATTGCCTTTATTAATCTCTTCATTGTTGTCCTAGTTTAGGGCAAATTTGGGGAAAACTCTCTGAAAGGAGCCCCCAGAAAACAAACCCCCACGGCCCCTCCCCACCCACTTGGTTCAGGAAAAAAATTTCCTCTGAGAGAGAAGTAGAAAAGAACCTGTTTATTCAACGAACAAAGCACTCCCCAGCACCAAAACAATTAACACCAGATGACAACAAAACTCTTTCACCACTCTGAAGAGATGAACAAATCCAGAGAGTCTTTCCTGGGAGTGGTCGCCCTGGCCTGGACGCTGGGGATTGCTCTCCAGCACTGGGGATGGCTGCTGCAGATCACAAAATGCAAGCTCCTGGTGTTCCTTGGTGTTTCCCAGATCCCAGTCTGGAGCAGGCTGGATGGTATTCAGGAAGAGGAAAGGAAAAAGCAACAGTCCAGGGAAAGAATTGGACTGCATAGCTAACCTAACTAGGAAGCAAAGGCAAAAGCAGAAGCAAACAAAGCAAGCAAGCAAGCAAAGCAAAAGCCAGCCAGCCAGCACTAGCCTTTTCTAGACCATGGGGGAAGGTGAACCAGCTGATAACAAGGCAAAACAAACCTTCACTTTCAGAGTCGGTTCTGAAAGCACAGAACATAATATCAAACGAAAACAGAACACACGATTGGAGATACAAACACCATTACGTCACCCTAGGACAATTGTCTAATGGTCTCTGCAGAAACACCTTGGTGGTCTATAAACCCTGCATTTCACATGTCCACTTTGCAGCTTTGTTCACTGAAGCTCTTAAGTGTTAGTTTAGCAAAACTAAAAGGTTCCCTGATTTTCCGAATCAAAGTCTAATAATAACACCCTCTGGAAATAAGTTTAGCTAACAGTTGGCCAAGAGTTGAACTTACACCACTAAAGATTAATTTTAAAAACTAATTAAAAGTTATAAAATTGCAAGCTCGATAACCTACTGTAGAGCTTTGAAGCAGGAAGGGCTAGGGGTGAACAGAGCACGTTTTGGAAAAGGGGCAGATGGGGGTGGATGGCAGGTGTTGGAGGGAAGAACTTGGTTTGTCTTCCCCCACAGTCTTGGGGGCATTGGCAAGAGAAATAATTTCATTGTCTTCTTTATGGACTGTCAAGCTGACATAAAACCTGACTTGGAGGGAATTGTACAAAGGCTTCACCCAGGGAGACTCTTTGCCCTGAACTCCAGAGGGGAAAGGAGTCTATGCCCCAACAACACTAAAGCTCAGCGAGGGGCTCACAGGGTTCCTCCTGCACCTCCAGCATGAGGAACAGCACCCCACTGCTTGGCACTGCCCTCACTGCCCCGGTGCAGCCCCTGGCAGGGGCTCTTTGCCACCTGGATGGGCTTCAGTGCTCTGGCACCGAGCCGGGCTGGGGCAGGTGGCACTGGGACTCTCCCTGCCCACCTGGATTGCCACGGGCTGCCCACGGCAGGGTGGGGCTCTTTGGGGTGTTGCTACCGTGGCCATCATCACCTCTGACATCCCTGTTGATTGGACTGTTCCATAGGTTCTTCGTGAGGAGTTTGGTGGGATAAAGGCAGAAAATCCCCGCCTAGCAGAGGAACTGAAGAAGTCCCAGGAGACACAGGTCTGTGCAGAGCACTGTGGTTCTCAAGGTCATATTTCCCACACTCACTCTCCAGAGACTTGTTTCTGACAATGCTTTTTCCTAGATCATGGCTATGTCCCAGCATGAAGAAGAAATTGAAAAGTTAAAGGCTGCCCAGCGTCGTACGGCAGGGGAAATGAAGAAGGTCCAGATGTCGTGGGACGAGGTGAAGTGCTGCTTGGAGCAAGTTTTGGGTCTGAGACAGCAGCCTGGACCCTCGGCCCTGCTGGCTGGAGGCTCAGTACCCTTGGCCCTGCCAGATATATGGACGACTGAGCTGCCTGCAGAGCCCTGCCAGCCTGGCTGAGCCCGGCCCTGCGTTGTCCCCAGGGCTCCACAAAGCACAGCACGGGTCAGGGCCTTGCAGGTGCCCACTGGCGCTCCCACAGGCTCACTGCCACCACTCCTCTCTCCTAGGACATGGCTCTCATCCGGGATCTCCAGGAGGAGATGGACAGGATAAAGTCAACACAGATCCTCATGGAGGGAAACATAAAGAAGATAAGGGAGTCACTTGCTTTAGTGAGCTGTTGGGTTGTGTAATCTTTAGGCTCTCATGGGGAACATCAATGTGATTCCAAGAGCAGGCTTTGGGATCAGGGTCTCAGGACCAGGTGGAGGAACCTGGGTCTGCCCATGTAGCTGAAGGGCCCCCACGCTGGGACCACAGGATATCTGTGCCCTGACTCTAACATCACTGGCTTTCCAGATGAAGAAGCTGGAGGAGGACCTTTCATACCCTGTGGGGCTGCAAGGGAGCCCAGGGCGTCTGGCAGCATCCTGGTTTGCAGGCACAGCACAGTGCCCTGCAGCTCTGCAGGGGTAACTCTTATCTTGTCCCCATCCTGCTGGCCAGGGCTTTGTGTCAGGACACAAAACGTGAGCTGCAGAAAATGGGAGAGCAGCAGGAGAGGAGGAATGCCATGCTGGAGGAGATGGTGACTCAGACAGCCGACCAGCTGAACGAGCAGGTGAGGTCCTGGGGTGGCGCTTGCACCACCCCTTGCTTGGTCATGTTGGAGGTCCATGCCACATCCTCATGCTCTGTGGTGCTTTGCTGTAATGTGGGGGAGGCCCAAACTGCCCAAATTGGCCTAGACCAGTCAGCAGCATGGACGCAGATTAAAGCCTTGATGCAAACGTCCTGTTGACACTGAGAGCTCATGGCCACTGGCTGAGTCATTCATGTGGGTCTGCCCTGTGGAGCAGCTAGACCCCCTTTGGTCATCACCTAATGTTCTTCCTTCCCTGGAGCAGGATCAGGAGCTGCGCCAGCACATGGAAGCCAAGTTTCTGCAGATTCAAAAAGACTACGAGAAACTCAGCTTTACCTCAGGGATACTCCAGAAGGACTCTCAACAAAAGCAGAAAGAAATCACGGTGTGTGGCTGAAACCCTTTTTAGGTCAAAGCATTCCCCAAGATGTGTCCGGGCAGGGATCACAGAGCATCTCTTGACGATCTCCTCCCAGCAATGCGCTTGTTCCAAGTGCCTTTCGCCAAGGTTTTTTGTGTAGGGGCAGAGGGCGATGCTCCCATATCCTGGGGTGTGCCCCAACCTTGCTGTGATGTCATGGGTTCCTTTTTGTACTGAAAGATGCTGTTCCAGTCTCTGGAGAAGCTTCAGAAGGAGAAGGCAAATGAGCAGGACGTGATGGCAGCAATGGACATGGTACAGTCTCAATGGGCCTCCCTGCCAGCCCAAGGGTTTCCAGGCAGGGTGCCAAATGCCCCTTGTCCCTTGGGGGCTGGGTGGCAGCACTGGCCTGGGGAGGGAGAATTTCCCGAGCATGTTGGTGTTCCCTCATCTTCCAAATGGTGGGACCAAACCCACCAGGGTGATGGGGCAAATGGGGCCACAGCACCCTGAAAGGGGCATGATGGCCTGGAGGAAGCACTTCTCCCTCCGCCCCTCACACGCGCTGGCCCTGCCTGTGGTTCCTCATCCCTTTCCCCACCGCTCTCCTGCCGTTCCTCTCTGCTTGAAGGCGGACAAAGCTGCCTTGGGCAGCAAAGTCAATTGCAGCCAATTTGAAGAGAACATGGAAGAGCTGGATGAGAGGATGCAGGAGTTGCAGAGCCAGATTTCAGGCCAGGAGGAGCACTGGAACAATATGCAGCGTCAGTTCAGCGATGCAATTGAAGAGAAGGTGAGGGGTTCCTCATCCCCGAAACGACAAACTGGCACCTTTGGGACTCGACAGCCTGAGGCAGCATCCCTCTGAGGATCCCCCTCCAGGCTTTTCCCTGGAGAGCTCCATGTCACATCCCGGGGCAGCTGGCTGAGGCTTTGCACCTGTTCGCAGCTGGGTCGCCTGGAGCTGAAGGCTTTCCGTAAGCACCTGGACGAGGCCTGGAGCAGGAATATTGAGGAACTTGAGAACAGGCTGTTGCATGAAAACGCTGCTGGGATCAGGAAGTGAGTGTGATGCAGATTCTGAAGGCTTTAGGAACAGCAGTGGTCCCATTCCCTCCAGCTGTCCCACACGCTCCCCGTGTGCTCCCCTGTCTTGGGATCAATGCATCTGCTCAATGAACCATGGGGATGCTGATGAAGTAGCTGCACCTTCTCCTTCCACCAGCAGCAGGTTCCACACAGGAAAGGAGGCACGAGGGCAGGGCACCTGCAGGACAGTGCCCTCCAAAAGGAAAAATCTGGCTGTGGGTGCACAGGCTCCCAGAAGCCAGGGTGGGAGATGGCAACTGCTCCTCCCAGGCAGGGCTGTGGGATGCAGGGTCCCAGAGCTGGGTTGTGCCCTGCCCTCCTGGCCGTGCATACAGGGGACTTTGGTGCCAGAGAGGGGCTGAAAGTGCTGCAGGGGCTGCTTGGGATGGTGACATGGATGCCTGTGCCCTTCAGCTGGCAGCAGCCAGCACACTGGGGATGGGGAGAAACAGGCTCAAGAGCCCACGGTTCAGCCTGCAAACGCTGTGACCCTGTGCAGTGACCTGCCCGGCACCCGGCTGCTGCCAGCCGCTGCTGCCTGTGTGCGGGCAGGGCTGTGGCCCCAGGAGCTCCCCCAGCCCTCTTCTCTCACCCTCCTTAGGCAGCTGCCAGTCCCTTTCACGTGCCTGTCCTGTGACCGCATGCTCACCGTGCAGGTCCCTGGCCAGTGAGTAGCACCAGTGCATCGGGGGCAGCGGGGCTGGGATGGGGGGAGATGGGTGCCAGCAGTGACCGCTGTGCTGGGCACAGGGTGACAGGGTCTGCTTGGGAGGCCCTGATGTGGGGAGCCCCCTCTGCAGCCCTGCCGGCAGCAGGGGTGTGGGCACTCATCCCAAGGCCTACAGGCAGAGGGGTAGCAAGGGGTACAATCCTCTGGGTTTGGGGGTGCTGCCTCCAACAGGAACAGGTTGTTTGTCCCCTGTCACACAGCTGTGACTCCTGCCCTCCCCAGGTACCCCGAGACACTCCCGTATTTGCCGCCGCTACCCCCCAGCAAGGAGCCACCGCACAGCCAAAGGTAAGGGCCCTGAGGACACATGCCCAGCTCCCGGGGTGCAGGCTAGCCCTGACACAGCAAGGAGGGTTTTTCGCGGTGTGGCACAGGCTTTTGCTTCCTGCTTGGGGCTCCTGCAGCAGGTGGACAGGAGCTGGGAGGGACATGCCCCTGCAGGCAGCACTGCCCGTCCCCTCCATGACACAGCAGGGTGAAGCCCAGGATGCCACAGGGCTGGGCTCTGAGTGTCCTCTGCCCCATCCCACAGGAGGCCGGTGGCCCATGGCAGGTTCCCCCGTGTGCCACCGAGCTCTGGGGACCATCAGAACAGCAGCTCCACAACGCAGAACATCAGGGCTTCCCTACATACAAGTGCACAGCTGCTACATCACCACAAGGTAGTGAGGATGAAGGTGGGGACACAGAATGATGACTGAGCCTTGATGGCATTGCTGACTATCCAGGGGGAATCTGTGCCTTCAGTCCCCAGGGAGACCTGGATTGGGAGGATTATTAGGGGATGCTGGATTGGTTGGGCCCAGCATTTCAGCTTGTTGCCCTCTCCTCCAGTCCAGTGTGGGACAAGAGCTTGAGTACTGGTGGGGGGGCCAGCTCACCCTTGGCCTTCAACCCCCAGGCCCTGCCGCCTCACGAGGGCCCCGGCCAAGCACAGCCCCAGGACACATCTCAAGTGCACCAGGGCTCATCCAGCCTCTCCAGCCCCTCCGGACATCCACAGCCCCCAGCCAGCTGGAAAGGACTCAGCGCCCAGTGCTCGATCTGGGACATCTCGTCAGAAGCGAGAAACGCCTGTGACACTGCTGTGTGGAAACATGATGTTTTAGTTGTATTAAGTTAATAAAACACCTTAAAACTGTTGGCAGAGCCTTGTCTCTGCAGCCTGCCTCTTCCCCCCCCACCCCACCCCATGCTCTCTGATGTTCCTTGAACTCCTGGCCCTCCCGCTGTGGCTGGGCCACCTGGCTGAGCAGAAGGAGCCCTGGGCCAGGCCCTGAGGCTGCTGCTTGTTAGGAGCAAAAGAGCCTTCCTGGTTTGCATGGCAATACTGGACACTGCTGGCTTGAGCTGAGTACTGATATTGATATGTTAATTAGTTAATTGCTCCTGGGGATCACCTACACCCCGCACCCACACTGCCATTCTAGGACTGGGGTGCAAAATAGAGGGACCACTGGAATCTTGGGAGGGGGTTTTGGGGATGAAAATACCACTTCATTGAAGGCTGGGCACAGTGGAGGGGACTGGACGGGTGCTCTGGCTGGGGAAAAGGGAACCACATCCCTGTCTATGTCTGACCTGTCACCATAGCCTCCAGAGGACTGGACTGGACTGGGCTGTGGGAAGCAGGAACAAAGAAGCAGCTCTTCCTGGTTACCAAGAGGAGAGGTAACAGCTGCTGCTGGACTTCAGCAACAGACCCTGGTTTGCCCCCTCACCCTTTGGCTACCAGTGTGCCAGGAAGACCTCAGGGACAGACTCTGCATGCCTTCTCCCCATTCAGGCTTCCTGAAAAAAAGCTACAACAGCAGGGGTGAGCTCCGTCCTGTTAATTTCAGTGCTGTATTAGCATCCTAATAGTATGGCAAATGTAGTTTTGTAGTTAAAGTGAAGCTTTAGTAGTTACAGTAGAAACTACGTATGTGGTTTTTTTTTTTAAAGGCATGAGATACTCGCTGCGAGATAACTGTCACAGAACATGTAAATCTTCCAAAGAAGAAGATTTTATGGTTTTCTTATCAGAAGAAGCTAATTTCTTCAGGCCTTGCTCAGACTTGAAGATGCCATGGGGATTAAAAGAAGCAGTTGAAATATAACAGAGTTTCTTGTTTTAAATAGAATGTATGCATAACCATGAAGTATATATGAATATGCAACAGTGTATTAAGTGCCCAAGAGCATCCAGACGTCTGTAAGTCTTTGCTTTTTATTGTCTTGTAATTGTCCTAACTCTAATTACTCTGATTGTATTACTATTTTTATAAGCATTTTATTATTATGAAACTTTTAAAATTTTAAAAACCACGTGATTGGCGTTTTTCACATTGAGCCCTCAAGGTTCTACTGACTATTACATAACTGCCACTTTTGCATAATTTGCTATGCTTTCAGCAAGGTTTTAGAGCTAAAAAACCATGTGAGGAGCATCCCTGTGAAAGGTATAAAATGAATGTGTCTTTACAAACACACTCTCTGAATCTACATGTAGATAGGGCCAGCGATTTAGAGATAGGGAAGTAATGGAAGAAATTATCAGTTCTGGAAGATGGTACTAATTGACATGGACTTTACCTAAGCCAAGGCTGTGTTAAATTGCTGAATTTACAGAAAAAAACCCCAAAGATTCAATATGAATAGTGTTTTATTATAGAAAGAAAAATAAAAGCGGGGAGGGGGAAAGTGCACAGTAGAGTGGAAAACAGAGCAGGCGATTTGCGAAGTCTGTACGGGCGCCTCAGCCAATGAGGAAGAGAGTGATGTGTCTGGGAAATTAGGACTAAAAGTGGGCTGCATCCCCCAACAATTTGGGAGTCCCCGTGGGAACCACCCTGTGGCCTCTCACTTTCTTTGAATATGGTTACAGCACTTCTCAGTCACCCTTTTGGGCATAAACTCTGGGACAGTGACTTTTCCCACACAGCTGCGCTTTCTCTGTCACAGCACAGACTTTCCCCTATGCTCGGATCCGCCCAGCGCCCAGCACACGGGGCTGCTCGGCGGGAATGGGGACACGGGGGAAGCGGTGCCGGTGTGTGTCCCCGTGTGTCCCCCGTGTCCCGCTGCGTTCCCCCTCTTTGCCGGGATGGCCGAGCTCCCTCGCAGGGCATCCCGGCACTGGGCAGGATCGGCCCCAGGCTGCGGGACAGCCGGGGGTGCCTGGCTGGAAGCAGCTCTGGCTCCTGACAGGAGCTGTGGGCAAGGGGCTGCCAGGCAGTGCTGGGCCAGCCCCTCAGGCCGGCCCTCAGCGAGGAAGAGGAGGAGGAAGCTGACAACTGAGCTTGCAGCCTCCCCGTGCAGAGATGAAGGGACGAGGGCACTTGGGCGCCGGGGCTCGGGGCCGGCCGTGGGGCACGGCTGCAAGCGGCTCCTGAGCCGGCGCCAGGGCTGCCTGTGAGGATTTCAGGCCGCAGGCGAGGGCAGCAGCGCCGGCAGTGCCAGCCGGGCCCCACGGGGATCTGCCCGAGGCCGCCCAGCCCGGCAGGGCCGCGGGCTGTGCAGCGCTGCTCCTGCTGCCCCAGCGGGCCCGGCTGTCAGAGCTGCCCCGCGGGCGCCGCGGGACCAGCAGCAGCCTCAGGGCCTGGCCCAGGGCTCGGTCTGCTCGGCCTGGGGGCCCGGCCACAGCGGGGGCCAGGAGCTTAAGGAGCATCAGGGAGCCCGGGGAAGAGACAGGCTGCTGAGACAAGGCTCTGCCCACAGTTTAAGGGGTTTTATTAACTTATAATACAACTAAATACAACTAAATACTACAACTAAATACAACTAAAACATCATGTTTCCACACAGCAGTGTCACAGGCGTTTCTCGCTTCTGACGAGATGTCCCAGATCGAGCACTGGGCGCTGAGTCCTTTCCAGCTGGCTGGGGGCTGTGGATGTCCGGAGGGGCTGGAGAGGCTGGACGAGCCCTGGTGCACTTGAGATGTGTCGGGGGGCTGTGCTTGGCCGGGGCCCTCGTGAGGCGGCAGGGCCTGGGGGTTGAAGGCCAAGGGTGAGTCCCTCATTGCCAGGACTGCCCCTGGCTGGAGAGACTCTGCCGGCCCAGGGCTGGCCAGCACAAGTGTCACCTGCCTAGTGAGAGACCCTCAGAGAGCCAAGCTCAGCTGCCCCATGAGCCAGTCCTTCTCCTCCATTCTGCTTCTGCCCCTTCCAAAGCAGGTCAGAGCCCCAAGCCCCATCCCAACCTGCCCAGCTCTGCACACAGAGCTCATCCCCCAGCCGGTACCCCACAGATAATCAGCCCCCTGTCCTTGTTGACCCCCATGCCCTAACAGGACCATACCTGATGCATCCTGTGTCCTGATTGCTGTAGGATGCTGGTCATTACGGCCCCTTGAGATGTGTCCATCACTGTCCAGCAGCTGGGTCACATTGGGCTGAGGAGGAGAGGGCAACAAGCTGAAATGCTGGGCCCAACCAATCCAGCATCCCCTAATAATCCTCCCAATCCAGGTCTCCCTGGGGACTGAAGGCACAGATTCCCTCTGGATAGTCAGCAATGCCATCAAGCCTCAGTCATCATTCTGTGTCCACACTTTCATCATTCCTACCTTTTTCTGGACTGTCAAGAAGGCCTGTTGCTGACTGCTTCTCTGTAGGGAAGCCCTGATGTTCTGCACCATGGAGCTGCTGCTCTGATGGTCCCCAGAGCTCTGTGGCAAACGGGGGAACCTGCCATGGGCCACCGGCCTCCTGTGGGACAGGGCAGAAGACACTCATTGCCCAGCCCTGTGGCATCCTGGGCTTCACCCTACTGTGCCACTCTACTGCTCTTGGCAGGGCTGGGTTTTGGGAACTACTTTCACAGGAGACACACAACTGCCCACCAAGCCTGAGCTCAGATTGAAGGCAGACACAGTTCATCAGATGTGCGTTCAGCAATCTTAGGACAGAGAGGTGGGCCAGACATGGCAGTGCAACAGGGGGACTGCAGAACTCCCCAGACCTGGGGCAAGCATTGGCCCTAGACAGCTGCCTTCTGCTCCCCGGCCCTTCCCACCCCCCCCAGCTCCTCTGTCCCAGGCCAGGCAAGAGCCCTCCTTGCTGTGTCAGGGCTAGCCTGCACCCCGGGAGCTGGGCATGTGTCCTCAGGGCCCTTACCTTTGGCTGTGCGGTGGCTCCTTGCTGGGGGGCAGCGGCGGCAAATACGGGAGTGTCTCGGGGTACCTGGGGAGGGCAGGAGTCACAGCTGTGTGACAGGGGACAAACAACCTGTTCCTGTTGGAGGCAGCACCCCCAAACCCAGAGGATTGTACCCCTTGCTACCCCGCTGCCTGTAGGCCTTGGGATGAGTGCCCACACCCCTGCTGCCGGCAGGGCTGCAGAGGGGGCTCCCCACATCAGGGCCTCCCAAGCAGACCCTGTCACCCTGTGCCCAGCACAGCGGTCACTGCTGGCACCCATCTCCCCCCATCCCAGCCCCGCTGCCCCCGATGCGCTGGTGCTACTCACTGGCCAGGGACCTGCACGGTGAGCATGCGGTCACAGGACAGGCACGTGAAAGGGACTGGCAGCTGCCTAAGGAGGGTGAGAGAAGAGGGCTGGGGGAGCTCCTGGGGCCACAGCCCTGCCCGCACACAGGCAGCAGCGGCTGGCAGCAGCCGGGTGCCGGGCAGGTCACTGCACAGGGT